TACAAGCTTAAAGTTGATGACATGCTCAAAGGTGAGAGGTGAGAACTCGGGAGACATTTCTAGACTGTAATGCTCTCCTGTCATTGTTCATTGGTTCTCCTATCCATGTAGCCTCTGGAGTCACTTGGGAAGTCCACCTTCTCTGGGCAACAGTGAGCTGACCTACCCTCCATTCTTGGGATGTGTGAGTGACCTGTTTGTGCAATCAAAATCAATTCATTTATGCACTGGTACCGTAATTTCAGGGATGGACACATACCAGTTAATCCAATCAGGACAAGGTTGGATGATCAGGACAAAGACGGGAGGGTGCTGTTCTTTCCTGTGCTGGTCTTAAAAGGTGAGAGATTGGGCTTTTCACATCGAGGAAGGCAGGGGAAAGGAGAGCTCAGAGAGAGAGAGAGAGAGAGAGAGAGAGAGAGAGAGAGAGTCAGTCATGGAGTCCAGAGCCAACTGATTGCTAGTTAAATGAAGTCGGCTTGTGCTCAGGTGCATTTGTTCTGATTCAAAACCGCCTCTCCTTCCTGCCTCATGACTGTGTCTCTTTCACTGTCAGCACAATGTGGGCAGGGAGGAACTCTTTGCTCCGTTCCACTCCACACAGGAATAAAGGCACACATGAGCCTAGAATGCTTGTGATCCAGCAGAAGCCACTTGTTAGAGCTGGGGAGAATCGACAATAACAGGCGGCTGAACGGTCGGGGAAGCTGGGATCACAGGCAGTTGCCCTTTTAGTAGCAGAAACTTTTCACTCCCACAAGAAGCAGGGAAGAAGCCCACAGAGGTGATTAAGCCAGTGATTGGGGGAAGAGCAATCCGAGGTGCAGTCTGTGCGGAGACCACTCAGCAGGCTCACCAGACTGGGCGGCAACCTGAAGCTCAGTGAACCAACCTGCACACTTCACCGCCTGGGATCTGCAGCGAGCCGGGGCTTTAACTGATGTGTGGCCGTGGACACTGATCCTGCTATATCCAGTCTCATTCATGTGCCCATTAGGTGTGTGAAGAACTCTCTACATGCCAAGCCATAGTTAGATAGCCAGCAGGCGCTCGCAGGTGACTAAGAGCGGTCTTTTTCACCAGAACAGCCCCTAATTTAACAGGCGAAAATGATAAATGATGTGTAGTAAATCCTGCACAGCCAGTGACTATTATTTTCAGGTGCTGAGAACCTAAGCAAGTGCTTGTTAGGGACCATTCATGTGATACTCCTAAAATGGGCACATTTTATTTTCCTCTCTGCTGACTTATACTGCACAAAAATCTGCAAAGCTGGGATTTCAGCCCAAGAGGTTGAGAAGCAAACAGAAAATGCTGTACGAACACAAGTCATGGGCTCCTCTTTCCTGGCTGGCCATTTAGGGAAGTGATACCAGACAGGAGCGTTTTGATTTGGGGTTTAAGGTGGCATTTGGGGTTCACCCTACACACAAGGTGGACAAGGAGGCCATAGTTGTGTCTTAAATATGTGAGTGGCCCTGACTAGAAGTTACTGGATTCTTTTTTGACGTTATCATTGAATAGTCCATATTAAAAGCCATTGTTTATTTGCTTTAGTTAGCTTACAAAGTAGCAAGTTTCCCTATGGCGTTTTCATGTGTCGTTCATGTTGCTGGATTCTTCCCTGTTCCTCACTTGCCTCTTGCCCACTTCCCTTCTGTATCCCTTTGCCTCCTGAATGTCCTCTTGCACTTTCATATAAAATGTGTTCTCTCGTCTTATCACCCCCTCCCAGAATGCCTCTGTTTCCCTCCGATCTCACGGCCCCTTTAATTTCCTGGATTTCACCCATACTTACTCCACGTAACCACACATGCTGAACAATTAGAAGAAACTAGGATCCACCTATGACAGGGAGCACACGATTTTGTCCTTCTTAGCCTAGGTTACCCCTCTTAATATATTGTTTTTCGGTTCTATCCATTTATAAATTTCATTGTTTCAATTTTCTTTATAGCTGAATAAAATTTCATTGTATGTCACGCCTTCCTTATCCTTCCATCAGTTGATGGATATCTAGGTTGATTCCATTTCCTAGCTATTGTGTGTAGAATTGTAATGAACGTAGAGGTACATGTATCTTTGTGAAAGGGTGTGGAGTCCTTTGGGTCCTATGCTCAGGAGTGCTATCACTGAGTCGTACAGTAATTCTATTTTAGCTTTTTAAGAAACTTCTACACTGATTTCCACAGTGGCTGCACAGCTGCAAGTCTACCAACAGTGAATAAGGATTCCTCTTTCTTCTCATCCTGCAGCACTTACTGCTTTTTTTTTTTTTTTTTTGATGGTGGCAATTTTGCTGGGGTGAGATGGAATCTAAAGGTAGTTTCAATGTGCCTTTCTTTGATTGCTAAGTGACACTGAACACTTTAAAAAATATTCACTGAGCTGCCCGAAGGCTGCAAATGCAATGGTCATGTTAGGGTGGGTGCTGGCTGGCAGGGTGGCTGGCACGTAGGGCGGGGTGGTGTACAGTAGCCTGGAGCTCTCACACAGGTCCTGCCTCTGGACACGCTGCCTCTGAGCAACAAGTTACCCGAGTTGAAGAATGGCTCATTTTCTGGGTTAAGTCTCCTGGAAAGACTTCTGTGGTCCATGCTGCCTAGTCAGTGCTGCCGCTGGTCGCCATGGTGGTGTCTGTGGTCAGTGCCGCCTCGGCAGGCCGGGCTGTGTGGATGTGGTCTGCGCTGCCGCTGAGGACCAGGTTGATGTCCGTGATCCTGGGTGCAGCCAGAAAGCAGGTTGAAGTTTACGATCAATGCTGCCACCACCATGTAGAAGTTCGTAATCTGTGCCGCGTTGTGCTGCTATGGGCAAGGAGGCTTCTTTTGTAGTGGCATCAATGACTGCAGACTTATAACAGAACGAGAGGCATTGTTGGCTTCTTTGACAACCTCCACCCCCCACCGCACCCCCCCAATGAAACCATTCAGACAGGATGCTATTGAAGAGAGCCCTTAAAAACTGTAATAAAGTTGCTGAAGCAGCTCTTCACAGTTGATGACTTCTGGTGGGGGTAGGGGTGGGGAAGGACTCAGTTTTCTTTAAGGGGCAGGCCGCTGGGATTTTGACCATGCTCCAGTGAGTATATGGGCAATGCAAATTGGACTTAGTTTTTTTTTTTTTTTTTTTTTTTTTGGGAGCGGGGAGAACAAAGGTGGGAGGGTGGACCTGGGAGGAACGGGGAATGAGTGTGATTGGGATACATTGTATGAAATTCCCAAATAATTAATAAAAATATTGCGTTGGGGAAAATATTTGCTGACTGAAGGGGTGTAACTTCTTATTAGGAGACAATCTTTCAGCAAACTCCCCGATCCTCTGGCTCTTACCGTCTTTCTGCTCTCACTTCTGCAATGTTCTCTGAGCCTCAGGTGCAGATGTTGTTTTGTAGATGTAGCCATCGAGGGTGAGCTAGACAAGGATGACACCACTGGACAAACCAAACTCGATGGGGAGAAGCCCACGAGGCCCCATCCCTACACAGAGAACTATAGGCAACGGAGAAGAGCTGGGAGCAGGAGAGGTGGTTTGCAGCAGGGAAGGGAACACCCATGACTCCCTAAACGTGAGCTGAACAAGGAGGATAATACCAACTGATGTGTTAATGGGAAGGGGAAAGCCCATAGATAAAGAACCACAGGCAGCTAAGGGATGCTGAGAGCGGGAGAAACAGTCTCCCCCAGGGAAGAGCATGCCGGTTGTTTCTCCAATATCCAATAGTCATCCCTCACAATGTACATACACACAGGTAACGTGATATGGACCAAGAAAGTTGTATATTTGTATTTTAGGCACGCGCACGCACACACACACACACACACACACACACACACACACACACACACACAATAACAATTGAAGAAAAGGAGGCCACAGCAAGGATGGTAGACATGAGAGGGTTGGGAGGGAGGAAATGATATCATTATATTGTAATCTCAAAAAAAAAAAAAACACAAAAAACCTTAAAAGTAGCAAAAGAAGAGAGATGAGGTGGAAAAATTTTATTCAAAAAGTCATGGGAAAAAATCTCTGCTTTCTCAACTTGATTGTGTGGTTTTCACAAGGCTGTGTTTGGTTTGAGTTAAGTCAGGGTATATAGTCCTTCATTTTTCAATCATTCTTTCCAATGGAACAATTGAGAGAGAAGACATTCACTGTGACATCAGATAAAGTCATGTAGTTCTTTTAAGCCATTTTGTATCATAGAGTAAACCCATTTTAATTTATTTTGAAATAATTAAAAAATGTTGGAAATGGTGTAAGAACAGTGCAAAGAATTCTGATATTATTCATTCAGATAACTCAAAATGTTAACATGTCTCATATTTGCTTTGTCTTCTATGGTTTTCTTTGAAAAATTTGGAAATACTTAGACCTTGAGTTTGTGTAACTCAAATACTTTAGTGCATTTCTTTTTTTTTAAAAAAAAAGACATCCTCTTTCATAAATACAGTACAATGTTAGAACCAAGAAATGGGTGTAACACGATTCTTAAAGGATCTTATTAATAAAACAAACCCAGAGACAGGTATTGAGGTGAATGCTGGAAGATCAGAGAAGCAGAACAAGCCACAGCCACCTCACCTTGCCAGTTCCTCAGCTGATCCTGTTTCCTCAGACTGGAAGCCTCTGTGTCCTCATCCAAATGGATCTCAGCTGAACTGCTGCTGCTCAAAAGCCTAAAAGCTTAATCAGCTCTAGTTCCTGGTCCTCATGCCTTATATACCTTTCTGCCATCACTTCCTGGGATTAAAGGCATGAGTCACCATGCCTGGCTGTTTCCAGTGTGGCTTTGAACTCACAGAGATCCAGATGGATCTCTGCCTTCCAAGTGATAGGATTAAAGGTGTGTGTGCCACCATTTTCTGGCCTCTGTATCTAATGACTGTTCTGTTTTCTGACCCCAGATAAGTTTATTAGGGTGCACAATATTTTGGGGAACACAATATCACCACAAATGGGTACAATATTACCACCAAAATTGCAGATCTCATTGGAATCAAAGCTATTTTTAAAGGAAGCATTCAGTTCTTTAAAAATTTGGTTCGCCTTGTGTCTTTATTCTTGTCTAATTGGGACATCTTTGAACCTGAAATCTGCCAGTATGAGATTAAATGTCAAGGACTCTTTCTGGAAAGAGATAGAAAAAAAATAGAGATAAAGAAAGAAAAGGAGGTTAGGAGAGTAGGAGAGGGAGAAATTAGGAAGGAGGAGAGAGAGAGAGAGAGAGAGAGAGAGAGAGAGAGAGAGAGAGAGAGAGAGAGAGAGAGAGAGAGAGAGAGAGAGAGAGGAGGGAGATGGTGACGGTGACAATGATGATAATACCATGTGACGCAGGAGAGACCAGACCCCTGTTCTCCTTCGTTCAGCTTCCAAAATCCCTGGTTCCCATTTCCTGAGCTCTGAGAAAAATCTGATATATGTGGGCTGAAGAGAGGCCTCAGAAGTTAAGAGCACTGGCTGCTCTTCCAGAGGTACTGAGTTCAATTCCCAGCAACTACGTGGTGGCTCACAACCATCTGTAATGAGATCTGGTGCCCTCTTCTGGCCTGCGGACATACATGCACACTGAGCACTGTATACACAATAAATAAACAAATCTTTAAAAAAGAATCTGATATATGAAAAATTGGGCTCTTTCTGGTGAACGAACAAGTGTGCTTTTCTAACCACCAAGGCTTAGGACACACACACACACACATACACACACACACACACACACACACACACACACCATGCATGCACACTAACTGGCATTTAAACGACATTCTTTTAGAAACTAAGCAAGGCTGTGCTTTCTCCTGCGACCCCAATTTGCTTTCCCAAGCATCTCTTTCCATAATTCTATTGTACTCTACCTCCTGCATGACAACCAGACTTGAGTAAAACTGTGGGTCTTCCTAACTACATACTAACACTCCTTTCACAGAACACACACATATAAAATCGAAAGTGAGCTGGAGATAGATGAAGCCTGCTCCTTCTCATTAATGTTTAGGAATGACTGAAATGTAGTGAGCCAGGACGCAGTGTGAGAGGCTGCTGGGTCCTGGCTGCTCTTCAGTTCTTGCTGTCCATCACAGCGGTCATGCTGCCTGCTCTTTGTCACTTGCTTTTATCAGACACACCGCCCACACGGGCGTGACAAGAGGCAGCATGCCTGGTTTGACTCAGACATCCCTGGGGGCTGCATCCGCCCATTCCTTGCCACCGTTGGTTTTAGACCTCGAATATGAGAAGAGCTCAGAGAAAGGGCCAAATCTGTTCTTTGTCTAGAGAGCAACCATTTACCTGTGCATCCTGCTCTCATTCACAATTCTTAGCCGAGCTAGGTCATCACGATCTGTTTAAGGAGCAGAATGCATCCAGCTATGATCTATATTTAAATATCTCTAGCCTCTCAAAAACACTAGAATTGTAATCTAAATGCAGTAATAGAATCTGAGCCAGTATTTTGGTGTTTGATACTAGTCTCTGGCTCAAAGATCCAGATTTTGGGCCAATAGATAATATTGTTTGGCACTGACTTAATACAATTGTAGCTTTAAAAAAAAATCTCAGAGCTGGAGAAACTGTTCGGGTGGTAGAGCATCTGCAGTGAGAGCATGGGGACCTCAGCTCGGATCTCCAGCATCCATGCGAACGTCGGGTGCGATGGTGTATGCCTGGAACCCCAGCACTGGCTGTGGGTCGGAGATAGGGAGCTGTCTCCCTGGAGCTTACTGCCTGGCCAGCCTAGATGAAATGATGAGTGCCAGGTGCAGTGAGAGAACCTGTCTCAAAAACCAAGTAAAGAGTGAATGAGGAAGACCTGACCCGCACACATACATATTCATGTCTATACACTTGCATGCACACATGCACACACCCACACGAATACGCATGTGCATGCACACACATACACACACAGAGATCTTAAAGAAGGCCTAGTCCAATTCTTCCTTAGTCTTCTCACAAATGTTCTTCGGTGACTCATTGGTGATGTCTGTCCCCTCAGAGTTTCACATGGTAGAGAGCCCTTGGCCTGAACCTGAGGAGTTTGATTTTTGGTGGAAAGTGTCTGCTTTATTTCGGATGGAGGAATGATTGTTTTCCACAAACTTCCAACCACGTGAGAAGTTCTAAACACAGGATGCTCTGCCATCCAGGGAGCAGAGACTGTTGGCAAAGGCAGAGCACAGAAATGGACTTGGAAGTGGATACCCAGCTGTGACCAAAAGTAGTTAGTTCTTTGACTGTGAGGTCATTGCTGGAACGACACAGAGATGAAATTCTCCTTTGTTCTGAGGCTCAGACCACAAGGAGAGTTTTTATTGTAACTCTTCTGGTAATAATGAAAATGAAATATTAAGAGCTCTTCATTATAGGCCTTAGGGAAATACGCAAATATGTTACAACTTTCTAAAATATGTCCTGATTAAATATCTCATTTCTCCACTTCCATAATCGGGAGATAATAGACCGACTGATTGTGCTAAATGGATTTCAGTGAGCCTTGCTGTCGTGCTTCATCAGGAGGGACACTCATTTCTTCATTGTGTCGTCTTCAGCTTCCAGGGACAACTCATTCCTACCAACAAACAGTAAATTTCTTTCAAAAAATGAAAGAACTCTGACAGGCTTTATTTGTGAGTTACATAGGAATATCCATATATTTATCTATAGCTATAGGGATGCATGCAGATATGCATGGACCCATAACGTGGATTGACCCTTTCTTCCTTCCTTTGAGACAAAGTCTCCTGTAGCCTAAGCTTGGTCTCCAGCTTACTGTGTAACTGAAGGTGCCCTTGACTTTCTGATCCTCCTGCCTCTGCCTCCCAAGTGTTAAGATTACAGGCCTGTTTCACCACCAGGTTTATGTAGTAGAGGGGGTTGAACCCGTGGCTTTGTGCATGCTGGGCAAGTACTCTACCAACTGGGCTACATCTAAGCCTAGCATATGATGTTGAAAGCTGTATTTCTAGACAGGTGATTAAGGAATATCCTTTTCCTCCCTCCCTCCCTCCCTCCCTCCCTCCCCCTTCTTTCTTTCCTTCCCTTTTCCTTTCCTTTTTCCTTTTCCTCCTCTCTCCTTGCTTCCCTTATTTCTTCTCTTGTTTCTCAGGGTCTGCATATGTAACTCAGGCTGGTTTTGAATTCATAATCCTCTTCCAGGTGTGTACCACCATGTACAGTGCAAGAATTTTTTTTATATCCTCCACAATGGCTTCTTTTCTTTTCTTTTGTTTATTTAATTCTCTAAAATAAACAAACAGCATACAACATTTGGTACTGATTCCTGAATTATAAACAATGTTGGGATTTGTTTTCAATTTTCCTCTCCCTCCAGTACCTTGTACATGTTGGGATGAATCCCATTAACTTCAACAGTTAAGGATAGAACATATATAATATGCCAAACATTGTGCTGAGATCTGTAGCTAAGGCTCTTGTGTACCCGAGTCTTGTTATTTTCCACAGCAGCAGTAAAGGGTGTATTAATAGATGAGGTTCTGGAGGTAGAGAAATTATCCATATTTGGAACAAGCGGTTAAGATCTGTTGGAATAGCTTGACCAGGTTTTGAAGATGAGCACAAATTTGTCTTTCAGAATTAGTGAAGGTGATTATTCCTGGCAACAGAGACAGTATGCACATGGCAACGATGCTCAGGGCTGCATCACATGAAAGGACAAACGGAAGTACTCTTGGGGATTGCTGGAGTTGATAAGGCTATACTAAGATAAATGCGGCTTGGGTTATGGAGGGGGGTCCATGAAGAATGGTGAAGGTACTTTCCTCTCTTAGCAAATGGGGACTGAGGAAGGAGAGCAAGAAAAATAAAAAGCAACTGCCACCAGTCACTCCTCAGACCTCAACTTCACTGCTGTCCAGAGCTTTGCTACTTAGCCACGGAACACGGTGATCATACCTCAGAAGCAGTCTGCCAGCATTCATTAAGACCCAGGCTTAATCTCAACTGACAACATCAATGTCAAAATCAGAGCTCGGAGCTGGCAGTATTTCAGTAGAGGAGTCTTTGGAGCTTCCATGGACTGGTTCAATAAACAATCTTGCTGTGAAACACGGAGTTTGATATTTAGAAGGGTTTTAGCTGGCACATCCACAAAGCTGTGGCATCCTGTCCAGTGACTAATTCCACTGTGAAATGTTGAAATACGGCTCTTAGCTCCAAGAAAGCATGTAGGCTTCTATTTGCATGCAAATTGCTGCCATTCATGTGTGAACTACAGCAGGTAAAGGCTCTGCCAGATGGAGTAATTGGGGTAGGGCCATCCTCCTTGATAAAGGCCACAGGTATCCACACATGCTGTCCTTCAGCTGAGCCCTGTTTTCCACATCGTCCCCTGGGGAGTAATTATTTTAATAATGGGCCTCAAGGAAAGGAAATCCCACTCAACCCTGTCATCATCTAGTAAACAAAATGGTGCTAATTAGTGTAATACTGAGCCAGTGTAATATTTGATGCAATTAGTAAATTGAGTCATAGATATTGAGAGGGATAACAGGGGGCATGGTAGATTGACAGATCAAGAAAACTCCCTTGGATTTTGAACAGATACAATTTGCACCAGTTTTTAAGAAGAGCCATGATGATCTCAATAGCATCATGTAGTGATTGGGGTGTTTGCCTTTAGACCTAGAGTTGAACCGTAGCCCTATTTCTTTCTGCCCAGCAGGCTTCAAGTTACATGTTAACACATGACATCTGGCTCCCTTAGGCTCTCCACTTCCTGGTGATGTAAACAGCTTCTATTGCACACTCCTACCACCGTGAATCGGGCCTTGCCACCCTTTCTCCACCATGATTGACAGAAACCGTCCAAAACTGTGAGCCAAATTAGTCTTTCCCCCTTTAAGTTGTTTCTGTCAGGAACTGCGCTCACAGGGAGACAGAAGTAACTAATATGATAGTTATTAATTACTATTAATTATATAATAGTAATTATTATTACTGTTAGTAAAATAGCTTGGGAGCTAGGGGAAATGTTTGTTTTCCATGGGTAGCTAATGCTGTGATGACTCACAGATATGATATCTCCAATGAACAGAAAACTCCTAGCAATAGAGGCCATGTCTTCCTGTTATCAGTTGCTTGCTTAACACTTAGTAGGCATTCAACAAACAGATCCCAAATGCACAGGTTTTAAACATTAATAGTATTTGTTGTGTATTGCAGATAATTCACAGACACTGATAAAGAAACTAGTTACTTAGAAATTATATTGGGGAGAACAACTCACTAAACAGGATAGGCAAAATCATCGCCGAGTCCTGGAAGGTTGATGTCCTGTCCCACGCTGCTCCTGCTGCCTGAGTCAGTCTGCACCATCCAAGCCCACCAGGGAGAGAAGAGAGTGAGCATATGTGCCCCTCAGATCTTAAGCCCTGAGGCCACGCCCTAGGCACTGGTACCTCAAGGTCATAGATGGAACAGGTACCTACTACATTTCCCCTTTTTGAATAAATAAGAAAGCTCTAACCTAATACAAAACTATATACAATAGGAATAATTATCAAGTATTGTCCAGGAGAGGGGAAAGGTAACAACATGAACAAAAATAGAAATACAACCAATGAGAGCAACATCAAACAAGAAACACATACTAAATGTTGAGAAATATCCAGACCAAAGGTAAATGGCAAGTTACAGAGATTACTCCAATAGCTGTCCTATCCTTAAGAATCTAACTTTAGTACCTGAAATGTTCTTAGCTAAGATACAAGAGGGTTATAACTGTAACTATCTATTCTTCAACCCCATCAATGACCTGAGAAGGAAAATAATATTACCCGAGTAAACAGGAAGTACAAGCAAGCAACTTCCCCAAAATTGCAAGACTTGACAGGGACAGCTGGCAGCCTGGTCAGTTACCTAATGTTTCTCAGCACAGTTAGGGCATCCATTTTAGTTACAGGTGTAGAATATCTCACAGACTATTTTCAGAAGCAGGATATTTGAAAGACTGTCTTACCCTGTCTTGGCAAGGTTCAGCAGTCACTGATGTGTCCTGCTCATCCAAAAAGGACAGCATGCATTCTGTCTGCAGCTGAGGCAAGGGTAGTTCTTTGCCCAGCAGACCATTTTTTTTTTTTGTGCCAAGAAGAAGACAAACTTCCACACAGAGTGTTTTAGAAGCCCAACATTCTCTCAGGAGATCCGTGCTGCCAGGAGCAATTGTGTCTGATGTCAACAGAATTCTAAGTTATTAAAACATTTAAATGCCATATTCTCTAGGTCTATGAAGTGTTTGAAGATTACCTATCCATCTGACATACATTTTTGTATATCTGGAAAACCTGACTATGACTATAAAAAGCATGAGTGACTATAAACCTGTAGTTCTTAACAACCTAAATAACTTAAGGACTAAGGCTTCATGTATAAAGGTAAACAATCTGTAAACAGATGTACAGTATAAGAACAATAACCTCAAAATTGTGACAATATACAAAATATCTTAATCAGAGGTAGAAATGTATAGTGCAATATGTAATATGACAACAATATTTAACATGTATCAATATACAAAATATCATAAACAGAGGTAGAACTACATACAGATGACAAATATAATTTTGCATTTGTATCAATAGGGAGATGTCATGATCATTCCATAAATGGGACAGTCATGCCTTGTGATGCTGTACTTATTAATGGTGCTTGCATTGTAAATGAAAGCATGTTAGTTAATAGGGGAAAGTGATAAAGACTTTATTCCAGTGATAAAGACTAACTTGCCAAATCCTTTAGTGAATGTAAAAGGAACCTGGGAGGAGCTATACAGTCTAGAGACACATATGCGATACACTCTGTGTTGTGGGGCAACTGTTGTTCAGACCTGTTTCTACACTGGAGAACTTGTGAAAGCCATAGTAGTTAGAACAGGATTTAGTACTTCCAAAGGACAGCTTGTTCGTTCTATACTGTATCCCAAGCCAACTGATTTTAAACTCTCCAGAGATGCCTACTTGTTTCTACTGTGTCTTGTGATGGTGGCTGACATTGGGTTCATCTCCATAATTATCAATAGCATTTTAAATAAGAAAGAAGTTCAGGAAATAATTATTAATATTTGATATCATTACAATCTCGGTGCCACCTGTACTTCCTGCTGCAGTGACTGCTGGAATTGTATACGCTCAGAGAAGACTGAAAAAATGTTGGGATTTTCTGTGTTAGTCCCCAGAGGATAAATATCTGTGGACAGCTGAATCTTGTTTGTTTTGACAAGGCTGGAACTCTCACTGAAGATGGTTTAGATCTGTGGGGAATTCAGCGCGCATACGTGCCCCTCAGGTCTTCAGCTGGCTAGCTTCGAGGCCACACCCTAGGGGTTGAAACCTCAGGGTCACAGGTGGAACAGGCACCCACTACAGTTGTGTTATTCTGTTTTCTACATCTTCTTTCTTCCTATCTCCCTCTCTTCCTCCTTTAGTACCTCTGTCACCAGCACCAGCACCAGCACCAACACCAGCACCAGCACCACCACCTGTCACCATCTACCAATACCGTCTTTTAGCCTACTTTCAATTCCATGGGGATAAAAATCTGTCCCAGCAAAATTCATGCTGAGGACCCAGAGAACAACACAGCAGATAATATTCACCTATTCCCAGAGACTACCTACCTCCTGGACCTTTGCTACCTTTCAGATGAATCATCTCTAGGCTTGCCTTTGACTTTTTCTTAGTCCTATGAGTTACATTTATGGACTTCATGATCCAGTTTGCTTATCCTGCTTTGGCCAACTCCAAGGTGATAGCACCCATCCCCTCACCCAACCATGCTCAGACTCTGACTTGGCTACTTATACTTTTTATCCATTACCCTGAAAAATCCACCTAATTTCCAATGCTCATTTTTCTGTTTGGTAGGCTGGAAAAAAGTCCTATCCTACTTTTTGTGTGCAAATATTTCTTAAGGGGGCCTTCTGAACATAGTCCTTTCTACTAACGAGGCTCCTGTTTCTCACAGTGCACACTCATTCAGCTAGCTCTTTGAGGTGAGCCAAGTGAGAGTGACTGAAGACCAGGCATGCCACTTGTCAGCACTCTTTTCTTTCCACCCAAGGACTAAACTAGAACATTCCCTACTTACTCTTTGTTTTTGTTATTTCTCTCAGAGGACTTGGCTCTCTCACTACCGTTTGCCCACTCTAGATTTCTTCCAGTTCAATACAAGTCTTGTGTTTCTTCACACCAACATGGAATGAGTCCTTTCTCAAAGAGGCTTCTGGTCTTAGTTCTCAGGAAAAATTCAAAGCCAGCGAAGGCAGATTGAAGTCTCCAAAAGGAGGAAGGAGCCCCACAACAATGATTCCACATGGACTATGATAATAACACTAAGCTGACAAACACCACCCAAAGATTGTCTTTGGACTACAAACTGCTCAGGACAATTTCAAGGTGGCTAACTGAAATGATCCAGTCTTACAGACTACTCTAGCCAGGACTTGAGACAAGCCTTGCACTTTTCCATTATGCAGAGACTGGACAACAAATGATACAGCTACCTCTTCCAGGACTTGATAATTAACTCAAATTTTTCTTTTCAGGATCCCCTAATGATGCTGTTGCCCTCAGATAACAGGAAGTAAATTTAAGAACAGGACAACCACATTCTCAAGAGGTGGACTGGGGTGGTTTTTGGTTGTTCAATGGGTTATGGATATTTGTCATTGTTTGGGGTTGGTTACAAGTTGCTATTGGTATTGGTTAGGAAAAAAGCTGAACAATGGAGTTTAGATTCAGGGTTCTTATTTTGAAAGAAAAAAAAAGGGAATATAGATATGATAGGCTATAAGAGTAGATTGTTGAATCTACTCTGAAAAGAAAAGGGGGGATATAGAAATAGGATAAAAAGGTAGATTATTGAGTCTACTTTTAAACCAAAATAGCAACTACTAGTTTTAAATATTTTACATTGATATGGATCTTTGTGTATTGATACAAAGTTGAGATTATTTTTGTTAGAGCATACTGTATATACATTTCTAATCTTGTTCAAGGTGTTGTACTTATGCAAATCATTTAACATTGTAATGCAAACTTCTAGTCCTTGAAAGTTATTATTACCAACTATTTAGGATAATAAGGAAATGCAGGTTAGTAATTAGTCTCCTATTACAATTAAACTTATAGTCATGTTAGATATGTTTTCAAGGTCAAACAGAGATATATTCTAGATAGACAGGTCATCTCCAAACACTTCAGAGATCTGCAGACTATGGCATTTAAGATGTTTTAATAACATACATTCTTTTTCTTATGACAATGAGACATGTCTGCTCCTGGCAGCACTAATCACTTCAGAGAAGGTGATGAGCATTGAAGAAACTCCACATGAAGTTTACTTTCTTTGTGGCCAAAGGAAGCCATTGGGCAAGAAAATGCCCTTGCCTTGACTACTGACAGTATAATGTCCAAATGGGACAAGCAGGACACAAAAGAAAGGACTGTGGAACTTTGCCAAGACAAGGTAGGGCAGCACTTTAGAAAATCTTACTTCACAGGTAAGTCTGTGAGATATTCTAGGCTGGTAGACTGAAGATGGATGCCTCAACATGCAAAAAAAAAAAAAAAAAAAAAAAAAAAAAAAAAAAAAAAAAAAAAAAAAAAACCAACCAAACAAACAAACAAACAAAAAACCTTGAGTGACTGTCCAGGCAGCCAGCTGTTTCTGTCATTTCTCATATTTTTTAGAAGTCACTTGCTTACACTTCCTGCTTACTCAGGTAATATTATTTCCTTCTTGGGTCTCTGAGGGAGTTGAAGACTAGATAGTTATATACTTATAGTTTTCCTTGTTTACCAGACTCAGAAAGAAACTCACTAAAGAGGGGTAAAATGTATAAGGTTGAGAGACATCAAAAGATAGTTTTAATGCTTGGCTCAATCTGGGAGGAGGGGACTGGACCTGCCTGGACTGAGTCTATCAGGTCAATCCCAGTCCTCGGGAGAGACCTTGATCTGGAGGAGGTAAGAATGGGAGGTGGGCTGGGGGGAAGGGGAGGGGGGCAGGGAGGGAGAGAACAAGGGAATCTGTGGCTATTATGTAGAACTGAATAGTACTGTAAAATAAAAATAAAATAAAATAAAAAAAGATAGTTTTATATGGTAATGCAAGCTAGGGTAGAAAGTGAATTAGGTACAAGACATTGGACTCACCAAGATAGGACAGATAATGGAGTATTTTCTCTGAATTTGTCAAATGCAAATGGACTAGACATTGTTGATGTATTTATTGCCTGTATATGTTGTATACAGTCATTATGCTTATTGCATATAGTTTTTCTTATATTAGTTACAACCTTCATTTTTATCTTAGCCAAAAAAGGCATAAATGTGATAATTTGTTTGTGATCTAACAAATAAACCTTGCCTGAAGATCAGAGTATGGAGCTAAGCCACTAGTTAGCCATAGAGGTCAGGCAGTGGTGGAGCACACCTTTGATCCCAGCACTAGGGAGGTGGAGACAGGAAATGATACGGCTGGGCAGAGAGAGGAGCTCAGCCCCTTTCAGGCTGAGGAGTTGGCAGAGTAAGAGGTGGTGGCTGTGGCTTGCTCTTTTGTCTCTTTGATGTTTCAGCATTTACCCAGTTACCTGACTCTGTTTTTTTTTTTTTTTTTTTTTAATTAAGACCAGTTAGGATTCACGATACTGCAGATTTTAATGGCGAAGACAACTCTTCCTCATTACTTTCTTTTAAAAAAGATTTGTTTATTTTTATGTGTATGTATGCATGTTTTTGTGTAGCATATGTAGGAACTGGAATTACAGGCAGTTGTGAGCTGCCTGATGTGGGTGGTGGGAACAGAATCTAGGCCCTCTAGCAGTCTTAATGGCTGCATCATTTCTCAAGCCCCATTTAAAAAACAAAACAAAACAAAACAAAACAAAACAAAACAAAACAAAACAAAACAAAACAAAACAAAACAAAACAAAAATAGCCACTTCTTCACTTCCTAAGGATTGTTTCATCAGGAAGCTCTGGTGGGAAGAGAAAGCCTGATATGTGAACATCTGGGAAAAAAACTCAGTCTTCTTGTCTCATTAGCAAAACATAAATCCCTAGGTAAATACTCAAAGATGGAGTTCTCTAATGT